TCTAACACAGCAGTTGGAGGTAAACGATGTTCACTATCTGCCTTCCATCTTGTCTAATACAGCAGCTGAAGGTAGACGATGTTCACTATCTACCTTCCCTCTTGTCTAACACAGCAGTTGGAGGTAGACGATATTTACTAGATGCCTTTCCTCTTGTCTAATACAGCAGCTGGAGGTAGATGATGTTCACTATCTACCTTCCCTCTTGTCTAACACAGCAGTTGGAGGTAAACGATGTTCACTATCTGCCTTCCATCTTGTCTAATACAGCAGCTGAAGGTAGACGATGTTCACTATCTACCTTCCCTCTTGTCTAACACAGCAGTTGGAGGTAAACGATGTTCACTATCTGCTTTCCATCTTGTCTAATACAGCAGCTGAAGGTAGACGATGTTCACTATCTACCTTCCCTCTTGTCTAACACAGCAGCTGGAGGTAGACGATGTTCACTATCTACCTTCCATCTTGTCTAACACAGCAGTTGGAGGTAAACGATATTTACTAGATGCCTTTCCTCTTGTCAAACGGTCTAAAATAGGGACTTTCTTATGCGAATATCATAAAACAATCAAACAAACAAAAATCACCTGCTATTAAGGATTTCATATAATTTTTTTTGAATGATAAACAGATTTTTTTAGATTGTTTATGTACAAAGAAATGATCATAATTTGTTGGTTGAAATGTGGTTTCTTTTCGAACAGTAACAAGACCAAATAAATACGACCACTACATTTCTACGGTGTGTAATATTACTTTTGTAATTTCTTTGGGTTGACGGCAACTATCTAAAACTGTATGTAAGTTCAGGTGTCATTTCGCTCAAATTTCTTTCTTTACATCTAGTAGCCACCAATGTTTATAGAACTCACCTATATTTCCTGGCGATATTAAGTATTCGGCAGACCATGTCTTCCGTGTTTCATCTTGAGAACAAGGATTCTTGTCTCCGTAGTCTATTCTAAAGAATTTCTTCGGATGTTCGTGGAGGAGAGCGTCGATTGTAAAGCCCTTTGCACGAGAACTCATCTGGGCAGATCTTTTAAAGGTCATCGTTAACCGATGTTGTGCGATTTCTACGGTCTAAACATGAAAACGTTAGAAGTGTGAGTGACAACATTACAATCGCTATTACTAAAGCATTGTAGTAACTGATAAGTAGCCAATCATAAATAACAAACTAAGTGGTATATGTGACACACGTGCTTTAAGGAGGCGTGGCTATTTTCCTTATTTGTTCAACTAACAACTTTATCTCACAAAGTTCACCCTCCTGGACATTTCAGGCGTACCTCTGTTCAGTCTATTTAAACACGGGAAATAAGGCATGTTATAATTAACACCACGTTTATAATAAGGAAATGAAGTGAGTTGGAAAGGATGTGAAAAGGATTATCACCAGGGTTAATCGTGCTAATGACGAAAAATAGCTTCACAAGAAGAAACTATATTCAAAAACCTAGTTAAACTGAAGTTAACAGTTTTTACAAACAGGGGACCCGTGAATTAAAAAAACGAAAAAGAAATCAAGCCATATTAAACCCTAAAGCTGAATCTAATTTTACGACGAGATTGTAATGTTTGTCAAACAATACTGTTTCAAAAACGATCCGCATCAAAACCCTAAACTTAATTGTGATTTTGAAGGAGACTAAGAAAGTGTCCCTTACTTGAAAAATACACTAAACAAAGGATAAGAAAGTGTCCCTTACTTCTACAGCACACTAAACAAGGGTTAAGAAAGTATCCCTTACTTGTAGAGCACACTAAACAAAGGTTAAGAAAGTATCCCTTACTTGTACAGTACACTAAACAAGGGTTAAGAAAGTATCCCTTACTTGTACAGCACACTAAACAAGGTTTAAGAAAGTATCCCTTACTTGTACAGCACACTAAACAAGGGTTAAGAAAGTATTCCTTACTTGTACAGTACACTAAACAAGGGTTAAGAAAGTATCCCTTACTTGTACAGGACACTAAACAAGGGTTAAGAAAGTATTCCTTACTTGTACAGCACACTAAACAAGGGTTAAGAAAGTATTCCTTACTTGTACAGTACACTAAACAAGGGTTAAGAAAGTATCCCTTACTTGTACAGCACACTAAACAAGGGTTAAGAAAGTGAAATGTATTTATACAATATCCTATAAAGACAATAATAAGGTGTTTTCAGTTATATAATCTACAAAAATAAGACTAACAATTACCATTTAGTTATAGGAGAAAACACAAATGGCTAACAATGTGTACTTGTTTATCATGCAGATCTTGACTGATCGAAGCTTCAATAGCAGATCTTGATTGATTTCAGCTTCAATAGCAGATCTTTTCTGATCCAAGTTTCAATAGCAGATCTTGACTGATCCAAACTTCAATATCAGATCTTTACTGATCCTAGTTTCAATATCAGATCTTGACTGATCCAAATTTCAATAGAAGATCTTGACTAATCCAGGCTTCAATAAAAGATCTCGACTAATCCAAGCATCAAAATGGAATCTCGACTGATCCAAGCTTCAATAGCGAACAGTAATTAAAAGGATTGTTTGTTAGAACAGTAACTAACACCATTGTTTGTTAGAACAGTAACTAACAGGATTGTTTGTTAGAACAGTAATTAACAGGATTGTTTGTTAGAACAGTAACTAACACCATTGTTTGTTAGAACAGTAACTAACAGGATTGTTTGTTAGAACAGTAATTAACAGGATTGTTTGTTAGAACAGTAACTAACAGGATTGTTTGTTAGAACAGTAACTAACACCATTGTTTGTTAGAACAGTAATTAACAGGATTGTTTGTTAGAACAGTAACTAACAGGATTGTTTGTTAGAACAGTAACTAACACCATTGTTTGTTAGAACAGTAACTAACAGGATTGTTTGTTAGAACAGTAACTAACACCATTGTTTGTTAGAACAGTAACTAATAAGATTGTTTGTTAGAACAGTAACTAATAGGATTGTTTGTTAGAAGAGTAACTAACAGGATTGTTTGTTAGAACAGTAACTAACAGGATTGTTTGTTAGAACAGTAACTAACAGGATTGTTTGTTAGAACAGTAACTAACACCATTGTTTGTTAGAACAGTAACTAATAAGATTGTTTGTTAGAACAGTAACTAACACCATTGTTTGTTAGAACAGTAACTAACATGATTGTCAAACTGTCAATTAACTTTTATAGTTATGAATATATTTAGTTATTTTCTTATAAAAGAATTGCACAAAGAAAGTAAAATAAAAAAATAATAGTTGATACAATCGTTTATTAATACTAGTCACGCTATACCAGTGTTGTTAATACTAGTTACGTTATACCAGTGTTGTTCATACTAGTCACGCTATACCAGTGTTGTTAATACTAGTCACGTTATACCAGTGTTGTTAATACTAGTCACGCTATTCCAGTGTTGTTAATACTAGTCACGCTATACCAGTGTTGTTAATACTAGTCACGCTATACCAGTGTTGTTAATACTAGAGTCACGTTATACCAGTGTTGTTAATACTAGTCACGTTATA